ATATATATATATATATATCTCTCTATATCTAAATAATTCTGCATATTTATTAGACGTATAGGATTTGACGCAAGCACACACGTGCGACTCTCGTTATTACGCGGATATACGAGCGAGAGAAACCGCGGGATAAGAGGATCAGCTCTAAGAGGGCGGCGCGGGTTAAATATAATTCGAGGAACAGAAAAACACAAACACACACACACATACATACACACTAGGCGTAATCCCCCGTCTAGAGATAGAGAGAAACGCATTTAGTCGCCTTAAAACTATTTACTCTCTATGCTACCTCTCTATGCTACTCTATGTTCGTTTTTGGGTTACGTCGGTGCACGCATGCTGGTTCTCTCTCTCTCTCTTTCTCTTCTTCTCCCCTCCCCCGCAGCGCGTGCTTGACGCGTTTCCGCACTCGTTCCCGCAAAGCACGACGAGCGGTCCGCAACCGCGCGCCGCAGTTGACTTCGGTGCAGCGTTACGTGCACGTACGCGCGTTTTAGGCGCGTACGTGGTACGCTACGAGCGTGTACTACATTCTCTTCTGCGTGCACCTGCCGTGTGTTTTCAGTTACTATTGTTATAGTGTCGTAACGCGACGCGAGCTCTCGCGGAAGATCCCGACCGCGATTCCGACGTGCGACAGCGATCGAGAGGAGTTCAGGAAAATCGGTGGGAGAATATGTTATATACGAGAAGGGGGTGGAAATTGGCGGGGAACGAAATTTGAATTCTGCAGAATTTTTCGTTTTTCGATATCGAGCCTAAAGTAGTAGTAGTGTTAATCAATATTTTTGCGAGTAAGAGCGAAGCTGATACATGTGTGTGTGTGGCTTTTCTGATACATCTATTATTCTCGTAGTATTGTGAGACCAGATGGATTTCAATCTCTCTCTCTCTCCCTCTCTCTCTTTTTCGAGGACACTAAATCGTAGCGACAAACCTTGACATTTCATGTACGCGAAGGTAAAACTGATCAAAATCGCGATCGATCTATGATATATAAAAAATGCGCGATGATTGAATTTAGGTTGTTTGGGAGATTTGCTCGAAATTTTTTATGCATTATAGTTTTATATTGCACTTTGCCTTATATTGTTTATTTCTAATGCTAATATTTCTAATATTTCTAATATTTTTATTATATTTTTGTATATATTATATTTAACTTTTCTCTATATGAAACACTTTTTTTATTATGTATATAAAAAAATATTATCGTATATCTCATTATTTATAGTGCTGTATATAAAGCGGCAGAGAATTTGGTTAAAGTCCTGCGGCTATTTAGAGATTAAAAAGACAACTCTTCGCGAGGAATTAGCGTTGGTCCGCGGAGTTTCTATTTTCGTGACAACCGCGTTGCTTATTCGAGCAACAGCGAGAATGCCGGCGTGGCCTCGATTTTTACACCTTTATAGAGTGGAATGCAAAGCGATCGCCGTGCAGGAATTTTCAAACAAGAGATATATAAATTTTCCTCTTGTTTTTTTATGAATATCTTATAAACATGACTTATTATTGCAGATATTTCACAAAATGTCAGTAAAAATAAGGAATCCTTAAAGAGACATGAATTTTACAGAGTTAAGCTCCAATTTATCAGTCGATTTAATGGCATTTTAATTGATATTACAATGCCTTTATTAACTACGAAGTGCGATCTCCTTAGACGATCGCTCTCCGAGGCGTAATAATATCGCGTTGTAGGAAGGAGGAGAGAGGAGGGCGATTTCTCGGCTAATTCGAGATTGGATCGACTATTCTTCGGAATAAATCGCGAAGCGTGTGCCGTTGTAAAAAGAAGCACGAATACGCCGGCGCGCGGTTGCGCAATACCGGGGTACACACGGTATATAACATAATTGTTCGTCGCGATTGTATAATGCGGACTTCCAGGCGGCAGTCGTCGCGTCACTCTGATACGGACGTGTATAGAAGCCAAAGATTTCGGACATGTGTCGATCGAATAACACGTGATGATGGTGCGAAAATTAGTCGACCGTTATCCGACTCTCGTTTCAGGGATTATCCTTAAAAACCGTAACGCATTGGAGTCTCGACTCGACGTTTTGAATATCTAATATTATTCTTTCTAATATGTACTATAGGAACGTTGGCATCGATATCGCGCGCGTATACCATATATGTATATTTATCGCTACGTCTTTACTTACCGGAGGTTATTGTTTAGCGGGATTAGCGCGCTATAGCTTTCGGAGCTCCGTTACATTTACCATTTGCTAAATATATTCTTCGGATTTTAAAGCAAAATTATATCGATTAATCGCACTTTCGAGAAGGGGGGGGGGGATAGCATTTCCTTTTTTCCTCGTCTTTCGAAATGGATATTTGTTCTTTTTAGGAACGCGCGCGTTTGACGTTTTGCACGTTTGACGTTTGACGCACGCTACATGCAATTCCGCACGAAAGCGCAGCGAATTTAACTTCGCGAATTCGCGTCGCCGTCGTCGTCCCGCGTCGAGGCGGCGGCCGCTTTTTGCTCGCTAACGCGAAACTGGCCGATCATCATCGAAGGAGACTCGTCGTCGTCCGCGGCCTGACGCGCTATCCAGTGCGCGACGTGACGTCGAGCGGTCGCGCGTGATGCGCAACGAGAGCGCGAAAAACGGCAAGGAGGAAGGAGAGATGTAGACGCTATCCTCATCTCGTACGAAAATTGGAACGCGGGGCGCCTCGTAATTACATAATAGCCGGGCTGTCGTCGCGCTCGAATGAAACGTCGTTTGCACGCGTGCTTATCGAATCTCTCCCCCCCCCCCCCCCTCTTCGCCCCGAGAACCACCAGGATTCCATCGCTCGCGACGCCGTTGCGCTTCCGAGGCACGTGAGCGTTAAGCCGATGAGTCGTAAATAAGGCGAAGCGCGACACGTATTATATTCGCGGTAAATTTACTCGACGTCACTCTCTCCTTATCTCGTATATATTGGTTCCGCACGATTGCCCTCCCTTCCCCTCCACGCAGCAGAAACGTCATTGTCGTTATTGCGTGTTGCTCCTTTTCAGACTTTCGCGTCATACCAGTGTCTTCGAGTTGATTGTGGAACGAAGTTCCATCGAGACTCTTTTCCCGCCGATGTCTAGAGAATCTATCGCGTGCAGGAATAGACGAAAGTCCGAGGCGGGAGATCGTAGGGTAGCGTGATTCGTTTCGCGGAATTTCTCGAGACCTTGCTGTGAAATATATGTGGGACGTAAGAATTTCGAGGCATCGCACTGTCATTCTCGCCGAGTGATAATGAGTGATACGCGTGATGCGGCAAATTACAGTGTCCTCGTCGTAAGAGATTGTGGAACGTGAGATTCTGCGATATTCTTACTATGATCGAAATTTATAATAAGATGTAGGATGATACTTCGACTATAAACGAAAGCGATTTCGCGAAAATGAAAGAAATGTGCCGAGGGAATGTGTGTGATATAAAATTTTGTCGACAAGTGAAAATATATTCACGTGACGCAAAATACACATCGCATGAAGAAAAGTTCTAACGTAAAGGAAGAGAAACGTTGCGACGAATTCTTCGATAACAGTGTCGCGCGCGTTAATTATTCGCATCGAATGCGAGTATGTCACTCGATTTTAACATCATTATTATTTCGTCTATGAAGGAAATTAACATCGGAAATCAAAAGTTTTTCCCTCGCTCGAGAAAGTAGGATAGGAAATATATGGACATCGCGACTAACGACGTTCTTCCCGTGCGCGATAATAGTGGCATGCGTTTTCGAGACACGTTTTGCTACACCGTTGCTCGTCGCGATTCGATCGCGACTTAATAGCGTTTCACGCAACGGGATCTAGCTAAAGAAACAGAAAGAGAAGGAGCGAAGAAAAGAGACTCGAGGAGTATCGATTGTAGGCAATCGGAATCGAACGTCCCGAGAAGAGGACTCTCTTCGTTCTATATATATATATATATATATACACATTTATATATCGGAGATGAACGAGGTGAGGCACGTTTTGACAGCCCTAAGATCGCCCACGAAGAGCTCGACCTTGAGCAACGGCACTGTAGGCGTCGCGACAGCGACGTGGTACGACGTCCCGGCGCCGATCATCGTGCATTGTCGCGAGTTCCACGAAGAGGGACGCGACGTCATCGAAAATGAGGAGAATAAAAAGTTCTGCGAGAAAGAGACAGAAATTAGATCCATTGATAAGAATATGGAGGCTGGCTCCTTCGAGAGGGATGCGAACGTCCTCGGATCTTCGGAGAAGAATACGACGACAGTTGGAAGACCCTTGTCGTTCAATGAAGCGTTGTATCAGAACGAGGAGGCAGTTATGAATGATATAAATCGGAATAGGAAGAGGCATAGTGCCACGGTGGAACTGAATGCCACCACAATGGTAGAGACAGACGCCGACGGAGTGCCGACGATCAGCTTCAGCTTTCTGCGCGTCGACGAGAAATTTCACGAGGATGGGGACGAGATCGTCATTCTGGAGATCGACACGAGCGATCAGGCCAAGGACTTGGCAGAGAATCAACTGTACGACCTTCCTAAGATCGCCGTCCCGAGTCGAGTCTCCTTGGAACAATCCGACGATAACGAAACGAATGTCGAATCCTCGTCGCCGACGATTCTTTACGACGTGCCGAGGCCGGCCAAGGACACGCCCTTGAACAAGTCGCAAGAGGGAGAGGCGACGATGACGCTATCAAACGTTTCTCTTGACAAGAAGAAACAACAACGCGATCAGACGAAACGTTCCACCAGGTCGCTCAAGTCCGGCCGAAGAAGCTACGGCGCGTCCGACAGCGATGGCTACGACGCTGGGATAGCGTCGATGTCAGGATCGTACTCTGATCCCGAATGCCCGAACGAGGAGGGCTCGGTGAGCGGCGGTTCCGATCGCAGCAGGCGGATGAAGCTGCAGAAGCGGCGATTAGGCAAAGCCTGGGGCAGGATGCGCAGCTGGCTGCGAGAAGAGAGGACCAAGATCGGCGACATCGTGAACAGGCACGCGAGGATGCAGGCGGTCGGCGCTCTCAGTCCCGAGGTAGCGCCGGGAAAGAAAGAATGACGCGGAATCGACACGCGATTAATAAACATTAGTTAAAATAGACGGAGAAAAACGGAGATATAAAAGATTTTGGAAAAAAAATTGAGACTCGCTCGATTCTCGGCGACAATATTCATTATATGCAGCTTTTAACGTAGTCTGAGTCTCTTGTTTCTGTATTCTTAGTACCTCCATATTTAGCACTTTCTCTGCTTTTCTATAAGTTCACGTTTGGTCGAGCACATGCGTAGAATGAAAATTAAAATTATGCATCGAAAGGATATTTTTATGCTGTGCGTGTTTCATTGGAATAGAGAAACTGGGCACCGAGAGAAAATGTCAAGAAAGTAGACAAAAATTTATAATCGACGTCGTTAAATTAATTAAATTCGTTTGCTTAAATCGGTCAATTTTAACTAATGTTTATGACGTTGTCTCGGAATATATGTATATATGAGGGATTCGGTATATGAGCGGGATGAGTTTATAATTTGTAGAGGAGTTAAGTATACGACTCGACGTATGAAGTGGACCCTCGCAAATTACGGATTTATTCCGCTTTCACCCTGATTCGTTGCTTCGTCGCCCGAGAATCCTACAATTGGCTGTAATAGATGCCAACGTTGGGCTAAATAACATAATATGGGTTTCGAATATCATGATTTCCGATTCCTCGATTTATGGAAAGCGAAGAAAACGCGAAGTTGCAAGCAGTTCGATAATATAGTTAAAAAGAAATCGAGAGAAACCTATTTTTTATAGATTTTATTCCACAGAATTTTAGTCTCACACAATTATTCTATTGCATCACAATTTTTTTATCGAATTTTTTAATCATCAATTCACATAAAGAATTTATACGAAATGACTTTTTTGATACAACTTTATTCTTAAAATTTTCAAAACTGCTAGAATCATATCGTCGAGGAAACTATAGGAAATGATTATTTTTTTCTTGTGAGTTTAAAATAAAGTCACTTTTTGTCGAACTGTATAATACTCTCGCGATTAAAACGCGTACGAAAACAAAGAGTCCTCTCACTCGAACTTTTCCAACTTTTTCTTTAATCGATCTTTTATCGGGGAAATTTATTCTCGCATCAAGGTGCGAGGCGATGCCACTTTCGCGCGGACGTCCAAGAACAAGCAGCGCGGCTTCTACGATCTGACGCGGGCTCGTACCCAGGAGACCGGTTCGATCACCAGGGTGGAAGAATTCGGGCTGTCGTCGGTATCGGAGGAGGCAAATGTCTCCGACGATGTGGAAAGACCGACATCGGCGTCGCCCGACTCGGAAAAAGCGAACGGTTCTCGAATGTTGCGCGGTAATTTGAAGAGGAAGACGGTGAGCTCGGACGACATCTTGGAGAACAGCAGGACAAGATTACAGCCGCCGGTGTCGTCAACGGTGTCGTTCAGCATGGACAAGCTGTGCTCGGACGTGGAGAACGATGAGACGAGAATGTCATCGACAACGCCGACGACGATGGCGCCGGCGGAAGTCGGCTGTGAGACGTCGAGGGATCACGGTGGGAAAGGTGGCCTGATTAAGAGGAGAATGCTCGGGTCAATCAGAGGGTTAATGGCCTCCACCCATTTGCTGCAGACCTACGAGATCGAGGAGGTACTTTGCGCTCTCTCAAAGTCTTGTTACTTCTTTCCTCCTGTTGCATGCTGATTGACGTGTTTGCGCAGTTGTCGCACACTCAGCATTGGCATTACAATCGAACGTGATGCGCATTCTTAAAGTTAGATAGAAAGAGAAAACACGCGAGAATGAGTGGGAACAAAGGGCGTAGTCGGTGTAAACTGTAGTTCGAATAGAAATGTAAAGCGAATTTTTCTCGGTTGTATCCGAACGTCATTATAATTCGAACAATCCTAACAATAAGTCAGTTAAAATTGGTAATAGTGGAACAAGCTATTTATTCGTACTTGAAAATTATATACTATATATATTTAAAAATCTCTCTGTTAAATATAAAAACATTAATATATATAAAAATCATTTTATATTTTAATATATATATATATATATATATAATTAATGTCATTTCTATATTTGATAGAAAGATTTTTGATATTTATTTACAGCGTGTTTAAAGTTCATTTTTAGCATATCTTCTTCGCGGCATTGCCCTTTGAATCTCTTGCTGCATCGTTAATTAAATATTCTATTTCGCGATTATTCTTGTTAAGTAGTCCACATGTGGGAGTTATTTAAAAGTCGCACTTGTAATGTCGTAATGAATGAGGCCGAATGAGCTTTACGATTCATTCAATGAGCTTTACAGTTCATTTAGGTTAACATCGAGATCGTTAAAAACCATGTCGTATAAGATCATAAAAGTAATCGCTCGAAGGACTTTAATAAAAATCAAGAACAATCTTCGCCATAGATGATTAAAAGCTGTAGTAAAAGGGTGAAAATTATATACGCGATAATTTTTTTATTTCTTGAAAAATGTCTATGTATATCTCGATGATTTACGCAAATCAAATGAAGTTCGTTTACAAACAATGAATCCGACACTTTATTGAAATACGACACTCGAGAATTCGTGACTCACACATCAATATTGAATGACGTTTTATGCCACTGCATATCTATTCCGCTCATTTCCTTTAATCTCAATTCATTCTTAAATTCTGAACAAGAAAGATATGCAAAAATTATGACTATCTAGCGTGAACTGTAGGTGGAATAGAAACTTAAAAATGTCTAATCGTTTCTGGAAATACGCTATCAGATATAATTATTTTTTTTTTTATTTATTTTATTATATTATTTGCAAATTTTATAGCAAAATACATCTCCCCTTGATTAAGAGATTCATGACATTGATTTTTAAATGTATCGTAATTTTATAAATTTTTTTAGTTTTTATTATTAAAGCGTCTATTATCCGTCCAGAACATCTTAGGAACATCTTATCAAAAAAAATTGTCCGCGTGTCAAGCGACGTGTGGACCTTTATCGCCACTATTTGCGCAACGCGCTCCTTATTGGCTGTCTACACAAAATTACCGCGTTTCCACGGATATTTTATAGCAGACACAAAGCGGGTAGCCATTTCGACGAGACTTTACGAGATGCGCGCGCGATAAATAAGCGACATCCGTGTAGTTAGAAACTAAATTCCCATGCGCTTTTTTTTTCGCTCGATGACATTTTTTACGCTGGAAATCGCTTTCACTATTACAGCATATTCTGGCATGTTTAGAATGCTTTTTGTCAATTTACTAAAGGTCACATTATGTCATGTTCGAATGTGAATCTAAGCATTAAAGATTTTTTTTTCTGAAATACTGATCTCCGCTGATTATTCTTGGAAAACTGAAATTTCTTCGACAAATATTAGCATATAGATTTCGTACTTTCAATCTTTTAAAATTTGTTCTGATAAAAGTTTGACAAAAAAGAAAAGACTTTAAGTAAATTTAGTGATAAATTAATTGAAATTAGTTTCGATAGTGTCTATATTTTCTTTGGAGAGCTCTACATGTAGCTCTGAAAAAAAAAAAAAACTTAACAGATATGAATCTTCAAAGATACGGAGAGAGAGTGCTTCGAAAATTTCGCAATCTTTAATTAATAAGTTACAAATGTATAATTAACACACGAATGACAGCAAAGATATATCACTCGTTCGTTTCCCAGTTTGCGTCCACTTTCCCCGAGTCGAAATTTTACAAGAGAGACCGCTCGTCCGATCGAGAGATTTATCGGCTGTCCCGGAGAAATGGCGCCAAGTCAGGCACACGGAGCGCGCGCCTCAAAGCATCGCAGAAGCAAAGCATGGAAAGTGTGGGAAAGTTGTGCGGAGAAAATAGTCGACTTTGTTTCGCGCATACACACACACACCGACGCATGCATAGATATATGTACGTGACGCTTGACCGCCTTCCACGTGTGTGCCTCTCGTAATTGTACACGTACAAAGCGTGCTTAGAGACCCGTGGCCCTGGAGAATGGAAAAGATTGCGCTCTGCACCTTGACTGCAGTTGCATTCGACCGCAGATGCCTCGATAGCGTAGCATGAGGGTCATCGCGAGTTTCTCCGTTGTTAATTTTACGCTATACGTGATGTATGAATCCGTCAAGGACGTGAAACATCGTAAATGGAATCGTGTGTCGGTTTTGTCGAGAGCAGAACAGACAAATTAGAGAGACACGCTTATATTTCTTGCGGGCAATTTTATCGCCAACGCACTCTGATTGACGTGTGACAATTACTGTCACACGATCGTTAATTGTCGTCCGATATATTTGGTATATTTCTTATGACAAGCTCTTACGATTCGTGTATATTAGGGGGTTTTAACTTTGTAGGAATCGTCGTAAAAAATTACTACCGCTACTAATCGTCACGTAAAATGCATTCTTATCTGTGCAATTTCCCAATCGTTGACACAACGCCTTCGACAGAAAAACGAAAGGGAATGAGCGACGCGAACAAAAACGAGGAAGAAAAAGAGAGAAAATTTCTATTCAGGTATATTTTGCCAACGTGTGCGAAATTAAGCGCGATGGAAAGTGCCGCATGTGCATTAACAGCGGCGAATGAAAGACAGGCGGGCGTTTGTCTTCGCGACCTCCGCGATTTCTCCGCGAGAAGGCTAAACGTGGAGGAAGTAGTATATATTGCCGGTAAAAGGGAAAGGAGAGAGAGAATAGCGAGATTCGTTAAATATTCCGACGGTGTGCGGTTTGCGAACAAGTCTCTCGGAACGCATGTACGCTCGTCGTTATTCATACCGATCTCGCTCTTGTAAAAGAGTTACGCGTTATAATCGCTCTTGTGTTCGCACGTTTATAAGAAGATACACGAGGACGATGAAAGAGATATAATTGCCAATTTAGGAATATATTTTCGATGCATCAGAAGCGTGATCGTATAGTTAGATTTAACTCGATTTTCTACTTATTTTCTCTAAATTTTCCATCTATTAGAAACGCGCTATATATTATGTGCGCATTGTTTATCATAAATGAACATATAGAACGCCTCTTTGGGAGGGATTTTATTTCTAGATATCAAACTTTTTTAACAAAAATTTAATTGTCTTCCGTCATTAATTAAATATTTCTGAGACTCACTCTCAAATTTTGTTAATATAATTACTCTGAATTAAAAGAATTGAGACATGAGTATCGTCGTACATTATTTTTAATATTAAATTAGCACGCGATTTGATGAGCTATAATAGTCTTTTGCAGAAGACAAAGAAACCGCTCGTCGTGGCGATGAAAGTTTCTTTGTTTAGCGATAAATATAGATGAACTCTCGCCGATACGGCGAAAGATAAAAGGGAAGTCCCATTCGGGAAATTCGCACGCGTTGCCTTGCATTAGCGAAGGATATGTGTAGCAGACTCATCCGCATTTAAACGGTCGACACATACATGTCAAAACGAGCGGCTGATATGTGTATACACATCTCGGCGCATTCAAAATAAGATAGACATGTACAAATTAATGTTTATATGAGTTACAATAAAAGAGCGAAGTCGTTTTATACAACCACACGATATAATTAATTTAAATATAGATCGATTAATATTTCGAGAGAATATTAGATCGCCTTGTGTGGATTCATGCTCTGTAATAGATTCGATGGTCATCGACTGGTCGTTGACTGGCGGCGCACCTGTTCCATTGAAGCGAATGGCAATAAACCACCTGTTGCAAGCGCACACCCGTTTGCCGTCATCGACGCACCGTGAATAGGCGTATCGATTAACCTTTCGAGTCCCGTGTGAATTGATAATAATCGCCAACTTATTTCGACCGCTACTCGCGAAATATTCGAGATACTTTTGTCGCCGTAACGGCGTATTTATGCGTTTGGATTAAAGGATCATTGGCAACGCGAGAAACCTCCATCAATGCGAATTTTTATTTCGCACCAGTTCTTATCTAGGATGATGAATAGGGAAAAGAGCACGCGTTCTTTACTTGATTTCTATATAAGCAGCATAAAATGTAACACGCAAAATTATATTTATTTACATGATTCACATGGAGTGTATTTTACGCGAGATTATATATTAAATGCTAATATAATGAGCGAAGATTGGCCTGATATAGCATAGTTGAAAGGCGAATCTGTCGTACGAGCAGGCATCGATTACGCATTTAATTACTACTGTCGACCTGATACGTGCCGATGGATAAGTACGGTGTTATGTTATAACGAAGGATACCGAGATTAGATTAGATGCGTCTCTAATCATTAAATAGGAGAATTTTACCTCTATTTCCGTAACATTTTATTAATTCGATCGCCAGTCAATTCGATTACAAACTTTCGCTCCGTATCTCGAATATACATAAATCTCGCGCGCGCATAAATTTATTTTAATTAATATTAAAACGCATTCAGTTTTATCAGGTACAGTGGCAAAACGATTTTTCACAGTGAATTATTACGTTCAGGACACGCTCGATAAAACTGATCCAGAAGTTGAGATCTCTTTCAATTGCGGATATCTCGGTAGCTATCATTTGACTGAGATATATCGTGTGCAATTCCTTTTTGTTTATTTTTTCTTTTTATATGCAGATGCAATCGCGATTACGTTAACGTCGTCGCGAAATGTTGACAGAGTCCACTTTCGGTAAAATTTAGACCGAATCCGTAGAAAGTTGCTCTGTCATTCGCGTTACAAATAGACCATGTCCACTACGCTTGACACGCCCTGCATCGATTATTCGATCATTTTTTTTTATAATGAGTGGCCGTATAAATTTTAGCATGACGTTTCTCAAAAGTGTATTTAACCTGAATAACTTTTGTAATCTTTATTAACAAATGAAAAGCTTGCTAAATGTTTATCGGACGACTTTAAACACGCACAGCGTGTACGATGAGTAATGTTAATACAAGTGTTTATCGAAATTGATAATATTTAACAATTACAGTGAAAATTACGAATGTTTACAGAATAAAATGATTCATTCTATATATAAAAAGCTTTCCTTTCGCGCGGAGATAAAAAGATAACTATTACGATTCATGGAGAAGATTATCGTCGAAGATATCTCGCCCTTATTTATCAAACACGAGTTATCAGATTGGAATCTTGTTGGCAATTCTCTCGATTCTCAATATCGTCCAGAGTCATTGATAGCAAAAATGTGTTCGATAAAATCGAACGTTCTATGAATATATCGTATATCCTATCGATAAATGAAAAAAAAATACATAAAATAAATTAACATACACGCACAACACATGTACATGTATACGTAGAGAGAGAAAGCAGTCGTGATAAGAGTCTTCGAGTTTTGCGAAACAAACCACACCCGTATAATTCGAAATCAAACCTGTCAGATCGAGTCGTGTAACAATATTCGCGATATGCGATTTTTTCCTAGTTCCGATTGCGAGAAAAATGTACAGAAACAACTCGCAAGATTCATGCTGAAAAAATCGTATGCATAATTTATGTCAGCAAATGAAATATTGTTATTTACCAGGGATATTTGTTGGGAATTTTGATCATTCCGGATTTTTTTTTTTTTTTTTTTGTATTACGAACTTGTTTAGATATTCTAAAATCAATCAACCTTAACTGCGATTGTGTAAACATTTTTAGAGATGCATCTTTTTATCACTCGAGAATCGATGGCACAGACGTTTCTTCGAATTTCTTCTTTTAGATAACGACATTTCAACGATAACAAAATTTGCGGAAAAAATTCGCGTACAAATATTTGCAAAATTGATACCGATTGATCAGTGAATCTTAATGGATGATTAAATGTGCTACAAAAAAGGAATCATTTACTGTAACGTTTTATACATCGAAGATATTTTTCTGTGCAAGTCAATATATTTATCTCGGATTGAAAAAATTATTAATTTTTCGCTTGCAAAGCGTATGTTGATTGCTTTCACATTTCAAGATGTTTTCGATCTTTCACGATAATTTATAAATTAAATTTATTAAATGATAGAATAAATGAGTGCTGTGAGATAAAATACAAAAATTATCCAAATATACAGGCTCTTTTATTGATGATAAAAATAGTTTAAAGGTCTAGATTACGATGCTTGAAGGCACACGTGGTTTCCAGTTATCGTACTGTCTGCAAGCTCAAAGTTCGTCGAGAGAGATGCGTAGGCATGATATCGATTGCGTTGCACGCAACACTCTAAAGCTCAGGAAGTGTCGTAATATAGAAATCCGAATTTTATTCCCAATCCCCCAATTTTTGCGACTTCGGTCGATTCTTATGTAACTTGACGCGCGCGAGACGAAAATGTAAAATATCTCCTCGGCAGCCACTACATTCCGATATTACATAATGCGATATTACGCACGATGATCAAATGTCGAGTTCGCGACGATGTAATCTGCTCCTTTTCCCACCCAGAGAAATATCTGCGCGAAAACGAAAAATTGTGTAGCCTATTATGCGTGATAAAACTATAGCGAACGAAACACTATATTCCGAAACTCATTTAGATATCAATATGCTCGCCTTTTATTTTTCACGTTTTAAAAATATCCTTCGATTTATTATCATTATGTGATTATGAATCATATATATGTAACTACATTCCCAATTTTTATATAAGTTTTATATAAGGTTTTATATATTTTTATATAAGTTTTTACAGGGCTATATAGTAATTTTTGCGACTTCGGTCGATTCTTATGTAACTTGACGCGCGCGAGACGAAAATGTAAAATATCTCCTCGGCAGCCACTACATTCCGATATTACATAATGCGATATTACGCACGATGATCAAATGTCGAGTTCGCGACGATGTAATCTGCTCCTTTTCCCACCCAGAGAAATATCTGCGCGAAAACGAAAAATTGTGTAGCCTATTATGCGTGATAAAACTATAGCGAACGAAACACTATATTCCGAAACTCATTTAGATATCAATATGCTCGCCTTTTATTTTTCACGTTTTAAAAATATCCTTCGATTTATTATCATTATGTGATTATGAATCATATATATGTAACTACATTCCCAATTTTTATATAAGTTTTATATAAGGTTTTATATATTTTTATATAAGTTTTTACAGGGCTATATAGTCAGTACAGTCTTCAACATTATTTGTTGGACCCGAGGACTAAAATTTATACTAAACTATTCCATTTTCTCTCGCTACAGTTCTACAGATATGTTTCGCGTATCATATCAGAGTTTATCGCGACTTCGCCTATACACATATATGTCCGAGTTAATTGGCACTTCAACTTCCCTCGAGGCCCATCAAGTTTAATGCTTACTTTCACCGATCACCTCGGGTTATGATTAAGCTTTAATTCAGGATTGAACACCAGTCACCTTTGCTTGCACGTCAAACGAAAAGAAACACGATATCCGATAGTCGCGGGAACGTGTTTATCGCGCGTGAACAAAAGCCTTTTCCATTATAACCGATGTTTCGCGATTTTATCGTTCCTCGGTGGCTTCCGGGACGAGGCCTTCTCGGCGAGAGGGAGAGCTTCCTTTCCCCAGTTTCCGGGCAACGCGATCGAATCGAAGTTAGCATCCGTGCATTAAAATACAAAAGGATCTAGTAATACATAGGTGCGAAAAAATAATAAATAAAGGCGTGTTTATATTTGAGATGGAATAGTCTTTTACGACATTCTCTTTTGCTCGATGTGATCTCTACCTCAAAATTTTGCGACTTTACTCAACAAACCGGTTCGCCGTCTTTAACATTGTCGTGTCTAATTAGTAATTTCACGGATACCCGATATCGACTTTCACGCACGTTCATGGGATCAGAAAAAAACACGCGATGACTGCAAAAAAATTAGTCCGCGATCCACTCTTGCCGTTTAAAATCTGAAAATTTCTCGAATAAGTGTTTCTGTCAAAACGTTCATTTTTTTTTTTTTTTTTTTAGGAAGTATAAAACTTTAAAATAAAACTCAATAATTCTAAAATTTATAATGTCAATATTCATTTATAATCTCATGGTCATTCAAAAATATTAATCAACATAATGTTGATTTCTTGTTATTCGTTTGAAATAAAATGTCTCTTTCTCTAAAATAAAATATATTATAATAATATATTTATTTAAATTTTATTTTGTAAAGACAAAACGCGTTACCTTTAAAAACCTTTTTTAAATGGCTTAATAAAGAGATAAAAATGCTCTGTTCACAATTTGTATGTTACATAAATCTATAATATTTTTCGCACAATTTGCTTTTATAACTTGTGTACTTTGTAAACAAAAGATTAGTACCGTTTGTAAGTACCGTTTGCGATAACATCGTGCAATAAATATACAAGAAAGCTAAGCCAACACGTAACAGCAATGAGAGGCGAACGACTGGATGAGTGGATGGATAATGACATATGCCCGGCCTTCCACTGTGACTAAAACACTTTACGTGCTATAGGGAGAAAAAAATATAAGCAGACACGATTATAAGCGGCGAAATATAATAAAACACCTTGCGTTAGGTTACTTTTAATTTGACAATAATTATATATATTTTTTAATTGACAAAATTAATGTTACATTGATTAATCTCTTACAAAAAGAGCTTTCAAAGATTTTATTTTAATCTTAAATTTTTAGTTGCATATTTTTTATTTTTTTCACATTTCTCTCGCGGAATTTACTTGTTATAAAATTCTATTCTTCTGACGTAAAAATTTAAGCATCTCGTCGAATTATATTTCTACATAAGCTTGAGTAAAACACGTGATTGGAAATGTGATTCGTAGGTAAGAAATCATCCTATAATTCGGTACGATGCGCTGGTAATGTTGTATCTGATGGGCCACGATGCGTGGTTACCGCTAACTTATGCGTCTCCTCGCAGGCAAAGGGCATTCAAGCGTAGAATCGAATGAGCTGTATTTTTGTCACTTGTAGATGAAATGGGACAACAGTTTTCTTTAAGATATTATCTGAACATTTAAAAATCTACGAGAAAGAAGGAGAGAGAGAGAAAGAGAGAAATTGCCTTTAACATACATATATAATTCTGTTGTTTTCATCATTATCATAGCTCTCTCTCTCTTTCTGTCCCTATTATTATCATCGTCATATATAATATATTGTTATTCACATTGTATGCAGATGTGTGTGATAAAATCGAATGCAAATCGATATTTACCCCGTACATTTTACGACTCTCTTTTATTATCGAATATTTAGAAATAACACTCTGCTTGAAATTTTATTGCACGCATATAAAGTTTCTCCCTTTGAATTTTGAAATGAAGCTTTCTATTTAATGATGAGTTATAAAGAGATTTTTGTGAGATCTCATAGCTTGTAGAATATCTATCTTAGCCATTCATCTATGTAATTAGAAATATCGCGTGAAATAACAAGTGTATCGTAAAATCCTTATTTTACGATAGAAGGCGCTTTAAAGTTTGTTTGTTTTTATTCAAGTACACCATGAAATATAAACTTTGGTTGTTTATTGTTATTTCGTCGTTGTGCAACATTTTTTAACTTTTTCTCGTTATGTGCAGGGAGGACAGGGAGGTTTCGAGGATGTGCGAAGATACATCAAACAAGGAGGCGACTTCTGCAAAGACTTGGCGTCGATTCTTCATGAAAGGTATTCGGTTCTTTACCTTTCGTCTCTCGTGCAAACATGATTCTTCCATGAAAAAAATGCGAATATATGTACATTTTCAGAGCCGAATTGGAAGCTACTTATGCGAAGGGACTCAGTAAGCTCAGCAACAAGTTGACAAAGGCCTGCGCCAAGGATCAAGGTAATTGTCAACCATCAGTTTTACGATAATTTCGCATCTATTTCATTGATAATTGATTGATAATTACACGTAGTAATAATGATAATAAAATTATAATACTGGAAAATATTCAGGTTTAGATGCGAGATTTTTTTTTTTAACGAGAATTTCATAATTTATTGACATATGTTGCAAATTTTTTTATTTTATCTTAAATTGAAAATTTATTAATATATATATTTCTAGTGAAAGAAAAGTGAGAACTTATTATTATTTTTATTTATAAAAAAAACACTTTGCCATGAAATCAGTTTCTTTTTTTTTCTTGGTTGCGCTATTATTTCATCGAGAGCGCTTCAAAGATATCGATGATATCAATATTGCGAGATGGGCGGCATTCGAAAGAGAGAAAATAAGATCATGTCTAATAAACGGATTGCGCGTCTTTCGTAATGCAGGTGGTAATAGCAACGGAGGCGTGAACGAGGCATGGAGGTGTGTCGGCGAGGAGATGGAGGCTGCCGCGGAAGCCCATCGGCTATGGGGCATCGCGCTCAGCGAGCAGCTCGCCAAACCGCTTAGAGTAAGTCTCTCCAAGATAATTATTACGCGTCGTGTCGCAAAAGGAGGGAAAGACTGGCGTCACTATGTACGCGCGATCGTGCTTACGTAACAACGCTGGGATCATATCCATAAAAACAATATTAAAAATTAAATGAATGGAATAATCGATTGAATTATAAGATCTTCCCATTATAAAATGAAAAATGAGAGGATGACACGCATCTTGTGCACAGGTGGGTGTAGCGGAGACGCAAGGCCGATCGAGGAAGACCATCGAGAATTCAGTGGACAAAGCGTCCAAATCGCTCCAGGAATGGCGCGGGATTGCGGCAAAAAGTAAGAAACAGAGTTTTGCGAGCGCGCGAGAGAACGAGAGGCTGCAGGACCTGGCGCGGTTGCAGACCATCAGTCAGAGCCAGCAGAGTAACAATAAATTGTCGAATCACCAAATGACGGAGAAAGAAGTGAATAAGCTGGAGACCAGACGGCGTAAAGCTGAAGACTCGTCGCGTCGCGCAGACACGGAGTTTTATACGGTGAGCGTGAGGGCCGAGAGAGCCAGACTGGAGTACGAGAACACAGTAAGAAAAGGCGCGAAGCAGATGGAGTTGCTCGAGGAGGAGCGACTGAGCGCCCTGAAGGACTTCGCCAATGTGTACTTGACGCATTTGCAAGCGTTCGCGCCGCGACTGCAGCAGGTAATGCATGAGAGAATAAGGGCGAAATAGAGGTTGACTGTGTTGTGCTTAGATAATCTTGAAATTACCTAGATAAAGATAAAATAAAATTCAGGGTATAAAAATATATATATTTTTATTTATATATTCTTATTTTTTAAAAACAAGAACCTTTCAAATATTTTGTTTCACACATGATTTCTAGGAAATTTAGGACGATTTTTAGGATGCGCTGAATATATGATATATGTAATGCTTTATTTTCAGAGCGCCGATCGCCTGCTAACCCCCGTGCGTAGCTGCAATGTATCGCAAGATCTTGAAGTTTTGAAGAATCTCGTACGTCGAATGGACAGTAACGATGTGACGAACGCAGAACAGTTGCTGCCGGACTTTTACGCAGAACATGTCACGCTGGCGATGAACCGCGAGCGACGGAAGCAGTCGCTGGTGAGAGTGCTGCACCTGATTAGGCAAGATCTGGAGAGGGAGAGGCGGGGTAGAGAGGGTTTAGAAACGTTACATCGGGCCTTCATCAAAACACCAGCTTTCGCAGCGGATGAGAGCGCGCAAAACGTGACAGATAAGCTGCATCATGTAAGTTTTCTCGCGTCAACTACGAATTTAAGAGTTGGAATTTGGAATTATTTCGTACTAGCTAAACAGATGCGCGAATTAATTGTTGTATCTTGTCGCAGATGCGTTCCATGTTGCTGTACTTGGAGGCGGCCAGATATAAGGTCGGTGGTACGCTCGCGGAAGTAGAAGGCAGCAAACGATCCAAACATCCCTTATCGGACCATATCCTAGTTTCGAGAGACAAACAGGGTTTGCAGCAAAGTGTTCTTAAGGTAAGCAAGTCGTATATCAGAATAAAAATAAAGTTCGCAGAGAGTGAAAGTGTAGTCATTTAATGCTGAATTTTATTTTAATAATTAAATATTAAAATTACGCTTAATAAAAGAACGCGAAACAAATCACGATGGTTGTCCACATTCCTTGCAGGTTCCTTCTTGGGCAAAGAATGAATCCTTTGAGATTCAAGACGATGATGACGAGCTCGAAATACATCTGACGAAGGATCAGGATGCCGATCAGACACGCGATTGGGTTGATCGGACGGCTGGCGACGGTAATTCCGAAAATCCGCCGGACGAAGATGACTTCAGTGATTTTGACGAATTTAGCAGTCACTCGGAGGACAACAACAATCAGGAAACGGTCGATAGTGCGGAGGTGGTGACGACAGCCAAGACTGAACACGCGGAGCAATGTCGAGCAATCTATCAGTACTCGGCGAATTTAAACGACGAGCTCAGTCTCAATCCGGGTGACTTGATAACCGTCCATCAGAAACAGGCGGACGGCTGGTGGATAGGCGAATGTAGAGGTCGCACCGGCATATTCCCAGCCACTTACGTGCAAGTCATACATTAATAGACGCGAAATAATTATCGTATCATCGAATAATCATCTCGGTGTTAACGTTCACAAGTTCCACGCGAGTCCTCTTACTTAAATCTTCCATCCGGTTTTGCAGAACTAGGTAAGAGTGTTATAATGTGCCAATATAGAGCATTACACGCGACGATTACTTTTTACGTGTAGAAATCGAGCATACTTCGACTGTAAGCTCATACAATAACAACGACAAACATAAGAATTAATACCAAATAGCAGTTACCACCATGTTTGAGACGGAATGCGTCCGCCTACTAGTGGAAATATTTTAATTGCTACTATTTGCGTATATGACGTATTTATCATTTTTATTACGTTATATAATTAATGCTCGTTTATTTATATCGTTCTCAAGGAGAGATCGATCTTTCATTAAATCTGACATTGCACTTTATAATTCATCGCGCATCCTATCTATTGTTAGAGATCAATGGTGCATTTTTGAAGATTTAATTAAAAAATATTATTAAAAATTGAAGCTATATCTCATTAATATGAAGTTGATACAAATAGCTGGCATATTTATATCTGCCTATATAGTGATTATGATCACTTATTTTGTACTCCCTGTATAATTTTATTCTTCAGAGCTATCGATATATTTCCAAGTCTTTAGAAAACATCACTTTTCCAGCACGTTGTATATGTGTGTACCACATCTCATTTTAAGAATTAAGATTATATCAGGTGTTTTTTTTGTAATTTATTAAGAATTTGAATATGCACATACGAGAATAATAAGCGTTTGGAACAGTGAACGTCGAAACTATGTAAGACGTAAGAGAGAGAGAGAGAGAGAGAGAGAGAGAGAGAGAGAGAGGAAGAAACACGGAAAATTGTATATAGTATTTGTATCATGCAAACGCATTCAATTGTAAATATCTAGATATAAGAAGCTATTTAAATGTACTATGTGCGCAATACAGTATGTGCTAACAACGCATTTATTTACAGATACCTAAGTTGTCTATTGATATATTGTCAATCAATCCATTATCTCACCGGAATGATCCTGTCGCAATTGCCTCTTTACCTCCTCAGTAATATCAGTGCTGTTGGCTGTAACAAGATAATGTCACACGAAATATGAATTGTATTATTTGACGCAAGAAATAATATTTACCGCAAAACGGATGAGTGCTAGCGGTAGCCACGAAAAAGGTCCCGCGGTGATTGTACATCTCTGCTCTAATACCCATCTCCGTGCAGACATTAGCGTCACATGGTTCGGCGATTATTTGCGAGAGATGCCTATACGTCAAATCCCAATAATGTGCCCAGAAACTGCAATTGCGCGTAGCAGCAGATGCTAAAGATTCCGTGAGGTAAACGTAGGAACGTCCGTGGCTACATATCGCTTTTTGTATCGCTGTGAAAGTGCGATAAAAAACTTTACTTCCCATTCCTTAGATCAGCTAAATAAGGCGTTTCACTTTCAGTACTAACCGGTTGTAGAGATCGGCAAGTAATCGAAGTATGATGGCTCCGTCCTCGCGCAGCCAGGTTGTGTTTTACCACCGTTGGGATAGAAATCAATATGACCTATGTACGAAGATATCGGTTGAAAGAAGAATTATATGAATGGGAATTAAAAGAATTTTCAAGAAGTACAATTCCAAAAATTGCTCAAAGAATTCATTAAAGAAGGAGAAAATGCGCGATAAGAGCTACATTTCTTCTTTTATATAATGTGCTACCTATAACCTCGGGTAAGCCGAGACCTAGACTTGTGAGTAATTTGCCGTTTGTATGTATCACATCGACGAACGGAGCGTCATTTTTATGCAAATGAACGGATGGGTCGGCGTTGCGGAAGCACGGCTGCGCCGGGTCCAGACCGGTAATCCTCCGCACCGTCCATCTGCTCCGTCGCTTTTTCAGCTCCTTCGCGGCCATTCCGCAGATGTGAGCTCCGAGACTGTGCCCTATTAGATGTAAGGGGCCCCAATTACTCGTGTCCGATCCTTCGTTGCTGATTGTAGCGTTCGTCACGTGCTCTATAAATCTTTGGGTGAATAGACTAACGTTAAAAAGCAAACAGAAATTGCTCTGACCCGGGCAACATGGTCGTTCGCACGAAAGTCGTTTGAAGTATATCGTCTTGAAAAGTCGTCGAAAGGATTATCGTAGATGTATCTAAAGAATTTTTCAGTTCCTTTTTTTATCAAGGATCAATTCAAGATATTAATTTTTAACGAATCATCAAGGTATTTGTCGAATCTTTCCAAAACTTTAGACGTCTTTCGAACTTTGACCTGTTATCTGGCCAAAGTTACATACTTTGATATCTGATATCCCACTATTCTGGTGTTGACCGCCGCCTTATAATAATTCCACGTATTACTGCCAGCGCTCCAATCTACGACCACCACGTTAACGTCACCCTGTGTCACATAATTTCGTGAAAAAATGAACGACTCTATCCGAAAAAGAGAGACAAAATGCAACCGTTGGATCCTTACCCATTGGAGTAGCGCCCTTTCCATATCGCTGATCCATGTCTCATTGCCGTGCGATAGGAAACCGTGTACTATTATCAACGTTCTACGTTCTATCCTGAAATCCGTCCACTCCAAGCCGAACTGCTCGCCTAATACCACTTCCACGCGACGCGGTTGCCTCCTGGAGGAGAGAAAAAATCGCACGTCCAGTGCATAACTACCGTTAGGTTTGCTCCTGAAGAAACTCTCTAGAGTCTTTGCGACCGTCTTTCCCAATCCTAAGCAGTCCACTTGCGCAACTCGCGACGAGTTTCCAGCGGATTCCAGTTCGCTAGAGTTGATTCCTACATGAACGGTGTATGTGAAATCCATCAGGGTAGTCTCGTTAAAGAGAGGTGTTGCAGCTCCTTCAGCAACATGTATCGTTCTGTTTAATGCATCCTGAAGTGGCCGAGTTATATTCGTTGCATGCAGTTGCCATAGGCAAGAACACTCCCTGATGTTAAAATATTGCCACAGAACGGCAAACACAAGAACGATGGACGTCATCGTCACGCACTAGCGCATACTTGACTGATATATTTATGTAGCCTTTTGACCAATCAATAGATTCATCAAGACGTAATCATAATTTATTACATAAGAAGACATAACTACTTAGATAGCCCCATAAAAAGAAGAGAGAGAATTGGCTTATCTAATAACAGAGTTCAACTAAACAGATATAAGCAGTTAATCTCAGGACTACATAATCTTGGTAATACTAAAAATATCATGTCAAGTGGAATTAAAAGATGTTTTATCCATTATATCTTTTAATTCCTTTGTAGAATAAACGCATAATCACTAGGAATCTTAATATTTATCAAGTATTAATATTTTTTTTTATTGTAATGCAAAAAATAATGATCCAAATCTACTCTCTCTCTCTCTTCATTTTATTAATCAAAGGTAATTGTGCAAAATATTTCTAGTATAGATGTGGTTATAAGGATATAATCATATTATATATATATATTGAATTTTTTGCAAACTTTATTTGCATAAAAATGCATAACATTCATATTTACAGATGCTTTTTACAGATATACCATCTGTACATTACAAAAAAAGTTGAAGAATGAACATTTTTTATACTTTCAGAATCCAGATTCCAGAATTCCATTTCCGAGTTTATCTTTAATGTTTTAGAAAATGTGACAAAATTTTATCAAAAATTTGTCAACATTAACGAAAAATATTAATTTTTAGCACATAATCTTAAAAAGTGATATTTGAAAATCTTTCTATCATCGTCTCAGTATTCTCTTCTTTTCAAAGATAATTTGATGAAACATCAAAAGGAAAGCTGTGTTTGAAAACACAATTTATATATTAAATTTTTGTTTCTTTATATTCTTCCATTTATCCTTTTTCTTTTGCTGAAAGATTTCCACATTGAGTACATTTTAAATATTAATACCTATTTATAAAAAGGTAAAATAGTATATATTTACTTACTCTAGGTTGCTGGAATTGTGTCTGACTCGTACTACTTCCTGTACTGCCACCTTGGAAACTGCTGAAGTCTACTGCTTTGTAATTGAATTTCTCCGACGGTAACATGCCCTGTGTCTTCAGCATTTGTTGATTTTTTTTCTTGTCATTCTTTTTCCTAGCCCTGTCGCCAGATTAGGAAAACAATTAGCACTTTGAATGTATTACATATAGTATACTTTCTCTAAATAAAACTAAATCTTACCTTATCGATGTAACTATTTCAGAATTATTATTGTGAGTTTTCCCCTCTTTGCTTGTTTCTTGTACTTCTCGTTTTATTTTTTTAGGCATGTGCATAACTTTGATATCCAAAGGCGGTGTCGGTGTAGAAAAGTCATTATTTCTCTTCACTTGAATCTCATTTTTAATATCAGATTCTCTCTTTCTTTTTCTGCCATGCATTTGACCTAAGGTTAATTGATTACATGACTTCTTCTTCTTCTTCTTCTTCTTGGGCAAGGCTGCAACTTCCTTATTCGTAGTTTTACATATTTGTTTAAAGTGTTCATAAACTCTACTTTTACTCTCATTAATCTCAGTCTCATCTATGTGTTGCTCTTCGACATTTACAGTCGAACGCATTTCTTCTTCTTTTTTTTCGTTTTCCTTTTGCTGTTTCTCTCGTTCTTTTGTTTCGTGATGCACTATCATTGGTATCACACACTTATATCTCATATATGGACTTATAAATATGGCCTTTTTCTTGCCATTGCTATCTTTTGTTTCTTCGTCCTGAATTAAGAAGTGTAACTTTGCGTTATTTTAATGAAAATATTTATATATAACTTATAAATGTACAAATACTTTTTATATCTTCAATATATTATTAAAATATTTTATAAATATAAAACTCATATTTCATAAAACTATAAAGAGATATATTGTAATCTTATTAATTGCTATTGTTATCATTTTACCTCTGATGTAACCGGTGTATCAAATAGTGTGATACTGTGTTTCACCGTTTGATGCTGGTTCATCTTCGATTGTTGTGACGAGTTATCTTTATCCAGAAGACAGGGTAAATTTGCTCTTGCTTCAGTATCACTTGGTATATCATGTGGCGTATACAACGACATCCCGGAATCTACCGCGTGACTCTGTTGCGTTGATCTCTGCCGAATATCTTGTTCTGGAACAGACATTACAAGAGGCTGCTCTCTGGCCTTCAGCACTATCTTGTGGAGTTTCAGTACGTTTTGCCGCACCAACGGTGGTATCGGATTGCAACATGCTAGAATGCCCTGCATTTCGCGCGGCAACGTCTCGGCTATATTGAGCAGCATGTGATTTGGCAACACATAGCCGATACTGTCATCCTCCTCTCTCGCGGTGATATCTCGCCACTTGTGCAACTCGAGCAATGCGTACATCTGTTTGTTATTAAACGATTTCTGACTCTTCCTGTAAATGTTCATGCAACTCTCTTTTGTCCAGATCGGTTTCACATACGTTTGTTTGCAAAGGTCGGTGCTCCGGTCGTACACGGCCTTCAGGATATTACTCTTGCCGTTAGCCATCTCGATCAATTCATTCTTCAACATATCTTTTATGTGAAGTAGATAATGTGTATCCTCCCTAGCATACTTTATCAATTCTGCCGGTAAAGGTCTCATACGCCAATCGGCCAATTGAAAGTGTTTATTGGGATTTATGCCACAATATTTATTTAACAAATAGGCCAAACTGAGATAGGGCAAATTGAGCTGTTTCGCAGCTTGATGAGTGTCAAACATGTTCACTACGTATAGCGACAAGTCCCTTTGAAGCCACATAATGTCCATGTCGGCACCATGAAAAATCTTCAAGATTGTAGATTTTGTAAAGATTTCATTGAGTTGATGCAATTCTGACCGCAGAGCCAAGGTATCGATCAAGTAATCGGTATTCACTGTCGATATTTGCATAAGGCAAGTTATGCCTTGAAATGTTCTGTAAGAGTGATGTTCCAAATCTATAGCTATCTCTTTCTGATTTTTCAGATCCTTCAGGAGAATCTCGATGTCAGACGGTTTCTCGATCAATTTGAATTCGGTGCTTTCCAGTGACTTGTATTGTACAGGTACGCTCTTCTTCAATTGGCATTCGGGCAAATTAAAATTATCCAGCTCAAATTCGTAAGGATGATTATAGACCTCGCCGCATTCGCCTTCTGTGACATAAAGAGCCAAAGGTTCCCTCATATTCGGTTTCTCCTTAATTCGAGGCATCCATGGCTTCGAGCTATTATTGTTGATCTTATCCTTAAACATTAATTGTGGTCTCTGTATATTTTTTCCACCCAGTAATCGTATTTTCTTGGAACTGTCTGAGCCTTCGTTAGTACGATCAGTCCTCATGTTCCAACTGCCATTCATTATCGGTTTTGGCATTTGTGATACAACCAACTCAACTTGAGGATTTCGTAGAATACCACTCTCTTCATCCATTAATATATTCTATAGTAAAAAAAATTAATTGAAGAACTTAGTTTACCATATAAAGAAACAGAAATTGACATGTAAGTTTGCAATGCTCACAGCTTGGTCAAGCAGATGATCATTTATCTCTTGTAAAAGGTCGAACTTATCATCAACATCTGCGCTTTCAATATTGCTGGAACCTCCTGCTGTTTTTATTATCATCTGCATTGTAGCCAATATCCTCTTTAAATCTTTAGTCCTTGCCTCATTAAAACTTGGAAAGCAAACATAATAGTTGAAGTTGTCTCCAGCAGGCAAATTATTAGCAGCTTTGATTCCATTTCTTATTGCATCATAGGCTTCCTGAAATACATCGCATAATTTCATATACATAAATAGCTTGATATAAAATTATAAAAAGTATATATGTGTGTGCATGTGTGTAAGATACTTATATAAACGATCATTTTGGTGAGTGTGCTAACATTAAACGAGTAAACACACCTGAATACGATCGTCAAAAGTTTCATTAAGCTTTTCATCAGGATGTATAGATTCCATTTTGGAATCGTAACGTAAACGTAAAAGTTTGTTTCACCGTCTTTTGTCCTTGGACTTGAATATGAGTAAATTACAATAATATTCGATGCAACTGAGATATTTAATTCCCTTGTTTTAACTCTGTTTATCGTTTCCGCTTATCTTGTTTCTCAGGTTTCTCAGGTTTCTCAGGTTTCTCAGGTTTCTCAGGTTAGATTCAGTGCACAGTCCAGCATGGACCATAGAAAATGGTAGACAAGATGATTAACTCGTTATTAAATCAATTATTTATATTATTTATAAGCGTGCTTTTCATGAAACTCGTTTTCACGAAGAGTCTACTCGTCTTGTCTGCTGTTGTCTATGCTCGGCTCGAGCGTTTTGATTGGCGGAGCACGCGACGAATTAGTACCATCGACTATCACCGGCGACGATGCGGCGTCGTTATCGGCGTACTGGTCTATGTGCGTTCGCCCGCTCCATTCCCTTGTTTTAACTCTGTTTATCGTTTCCGCTTATCTTGTTTCCCAGGTTTCTCAGGTTTCTCAGGTTACTCAGGTTAGATTCAGTGCACAGTCCAGCATGGACCATAGAAAATGGTAGACAAGATGATTAACTCGTTATTAAATCAATTATTTATGTAAGTATCAAGCGTGCTTTTCATGAAACTCGTTTTCACGAAGAGTCTACTCGTCTTGTCTGCTGTTGTCTATGCTCGGCTCGAGCGTTTTGATTGGCGGAGCACGCGACGAATTAGTACCATCGACTATCACCGGCGACGATGCGGCGTCGTTATCGGCGTACTGGTCTATGTGCGTTCGCCCGCTCCCGGCGACGGTTCACGTCCAAAATTAGTAAATAAAGACGATGGCAACGTTCGAGCTGCGCGCCGTCGTGTCGTCGTCGTCATCGTCGTCTCGCGGAGGGTGTTTGGTAAAATGAAGTGGAAACGTGCCGTGCGTTTCGCGACTGCTCAGGAAAGCGCGAAGGACATCGCCGTGTGACCGGCGGCTGACAAATTGTTGGGCTCGCTCTCTGGCGTGTGTGACGAAATACGCTCGCTGGCGGATCGGGATACTTCCTCGAGGACCGCGAAGACGGACGGACAGACGATCGGATGAAACGGAGGAAGGACAGAGAGAAAGAGAGAGAAAGGATTATCCGCGCTCCAGAGTTCACATCGTAAGGTACGAATTCCCGCTATTTTTAGCCGGCCTGTCGCGGCCGGCGGGAGCGTGTGCGTGCGTGTGCGTCTTCCTCGACGATTCCCATTCAGAGCTGTACGTCGTCGTCGTGGGCGAGCGACGTTCGCGACGAATCATTATATTGCAATCGCGGAGTGAGAAAGAGAGAGAGAGAGAGAGGGAGAAATGACGTTGCTATAGAGTCTAGAAAGTTATGATAACGCGAAAGTCAAGCAAATTCATAATTGGGGGATTATACGAATAAGGGAATTGAAAACGGTCAGAAAATGCAGAAAAAGTCTGACGTTGAACAATAATTAAGAAAAGACTAGAAAGGTATGAGTAAAATATTTAAAGTAATTAGAAAAATAAGAAAAGTGTAAAATGTGTTAATGTAAATTGAGAGAGAGAGAGAGAGAGAGAGAGAGAGAGAGAGAGAGAGAAATACGTAGATATCCAGTTGGTTAAAAAAAATTTGAGAATAATATTTTAAAATATATTAGTCTCTCTATCTATTTGCTTACAAAATCATCGATATAATCAAATACTTAATATTCAGATAAACTATAATTTTCTGAGAATTTATTAGCTTGTTTATAAAAACAGGAAAAGTATCTCGAGCAATCAACAGTGATTCTATAATGATTTTATGTAAAATAATGCATGTCTTTACTCTATGTTATTTTCCAGGTAGAAAAATCTGATGTTTGGTTTTCTAGTTAGTTTGAAATAAATCCAAGATACACGCAGGTAACATTTGAGATAATGCAAATATTGAGATTATTACTGAAAATAATCAGAAAATGGAACAGATGGGGAAATTTGGAAATGGATGGGGAGAATATAGAAGACAGTTGAGGAAGTTAAATTTGCAGTGAATATTCGAGGAAAGGATATATTAATAAGATTCTTCCATACATCTGTGATGCAAAACAGTTACAAGCCAAGGCGCAATTTTATCATTTATATACTTTCTCTCTTCCATCTTTCTTGCTCCAGAATACAAACATACACTGCCACCATCTCGAGTACAGAGATATATCTAGGAAAGCAACAATTATTGCGCAATATCATGTTTCTTTTTTTAAATGTTTAATAATTGAAGTAAATAACAATGTAACATTTTTAAATACGATGAGATAGAGAGCGTTGTGTAAAAATATACTTGGTACATTTTAATTATAATGTGTGTACGCACTATTGCGTAAAATTATTATTAATTAGGAAACGAGATAAGAATTTTATTGCACGCACAACTTATATTGCCGATAGACACGCATGTACACCCTCGCGAGAGTTTTCGATTTCTTGCTATCGTGGGCGTCGCGCGATTACCCAACGATAAAAGAGGAGCGTGCTTATTGTCGTCACGAGGACGACACGCACACGCACATACTCGTACACACGTAGATAGTCGCAAGTTGAAGAGCGCCTGAACTTTCCCGTAAATGGTTTATCGGAAAGATATTTCTTCGAGGACGCTATTTTCGTCCGACAGGAACCTACATACCGTGCAACAATACATGTTTTGTATACGTGTGTGTGTCTGTATGTATGTTTGCACAGGCGTATACGGACGCACGTTTCATTTGACCCGATTGACAGTCGGATTCTTTAAGTTAAATGGTTCCTCCGCTGTCGAGCATCGCGCGAAGAAAGTTTGATACATCTTGGATGTACGATTTATCGGTACACGTATAATGTATCCTCTCAATACTACCGAATGTGCACGATCGTTCTATCATATAACGGTTTTTGGATCTTGTCTCTGTATTCCGAAATCTCTCGAATGTACGCACATTTCGTTTTCAATTGCGATAATGTCAATAACATCGAATAGATCCTTCAACCCGCATCTCAGAATTGCAAAGTTCGAACGAATCCGCGACGGTCGCAGCATCCGAAAGCTCATCCCGGCGAAAGCATCTCGCGAGACCGCTCGCCGATTCCGCGGTGACCGTCCAGACCGTTTTTGAACACGCGTCGTCACCGAGAATAACGACGCTTAATAATACCGATGTGAATCACGATGGCATCGATCTAACGCGTACCGTGACGTCACGGTTTTCTATGTACATCCTTAAACACGTCACGATTCAGTGGATTGACCTTCACCGGAAAGACAAAGACAGAGAGAGAGAGAGAGAGAGATAAAGAGATAGAGGGAGTGGGAGCATTGTACGATTGACCGTGTTAATCGAACGGTAAATCCGTAGCGTTAGTCATCCCTGACGAAACCGATGGCGATTTTATTGTAAGGAATAGCGTGAATCAGAATTTCACGATAATTGCAGTATAAGTTGCTTTTATATGTAAAAAAATATACCAATTAAATGTTCCACAAGAATTTATTTTTTTCAATCATTAATGATATCAATAAGAAGAGATTTGATATTTACAAATTGTGATTAATGAGAAGATAACGCGAATGTGTTTTTCCATAAAAGTACATATTTTATCGTGATTATTATTCGAATCGGATGGAATAAAATCGAACAATGAAAAAGAAAATTCAAATTGCAATATATAAAATTGCAAATGCACGAGGAAATGGATCGGAGAGAGTGCGTAAGATCGAGAAGAAGACGGGAAAGTCGTTAGAGGGACATCAGTCCCTTCTTTGAGGTTGCTGCTATCTACACGCGGATATACGCGTCCCGCTAAAAATATCGTAAACGCGAGCAGGCGACCGATCGGGATTGTATCGGGAGCGGAGCGAGGCTGCCAATCTCGGCGGGGACGCAAATAATTGCTTTCACTTCTTCAGTACTACCTTCCCTCGCCTCCCCCGTCCTCTTGGTCGTGACGCATTTATATTTGCTGCCCAGTTTATTAAGAATATTACCGATTAATCCAACGTTAACCGGTTGCACGTATCTGGGAATATATTATATCTAGTGTCGGATCAGCATCGATTTTTATGTATAATTTGTGCGAATCATCGATAGAGGAATCTTTGAAAGATGTTCAAGAGTAAAAAAAAGAAATTCGTGCCTTTTATATTGTATATAAAAAATAAAATAAATAGACTTGCTCTTATTTTGAAAATCTTTCTGTGGAGAATTTTCGCTGAATTGTTACAATCTCGCGCTCTTGGATGAGGCATCATCTCTTAAGTCATATCTTACTCCGATTAAAAGACCTCTTCGGTTCGCTTTATCAGTGATAACCTTTTTTTTTTTTCTGCGCGATTTAGGACAAATAAGCGCAAAAAACAATGCTTATTACAATCTTTTCTGTGATTATTCGGGAGCAAAAGTAATCGATTTGCGAGACAGTGTTCGTTCATGCGTGAAAAAGACAATCGCGAGATATTTAACCGCGACGTTTCCTTGAAGAACGCGGTTTGCTCGGAACGTTCTACGACACTTTTTCGAAGACGCATCGATGCATGATGGAAATAAAATCGTCCATCGGCTGCTCGTATCAGCGACGAGTCTCCGGAAGATCCGCGTTAACGAGCGACTCTCTCGTTACTTTTGACAAGCGGAACGCAAGGAGATGCGAAAGAGGAAATTATACTTGGGAACGACATGAATGCGACAAGTTCTGAAATATGTAGGCGCGGCAGAGATAGCGCCGGAACACGTTCCATTTTCTCAATGCAAGGGATGGTCTTTGAAACCTTCGAAACCGCGATATTCATATCGATATTCATCTCGTCCTAGAAAAGTTGTACGTATGTACATACGTCGGCGACAGTCGAGATAATGTTTCGAGATGAGATCTACGAATGATTTTTTTTTTTTTTTTAAATATATGAATGGCAAAAATCTTTCTCGCAGACAGAACATCTGTCAAGTAACAATAGCGATGATGTAAGATGTATAAATCGTTTAACATAAAAATTTATGTATATATGTAAGATATCTCCGAACTGATAGTGTATATAATTAAAGCTACACACAGAAAAATACATACTATATACAAGTAAATATTACTTGTTTCAAGTATTTCAAAAGTTAACGGTAGTTTTACTCTCTGGGAAAACCTAGGAAATTCAAGTATTTTTTTACGATCTCGTAATGTTTTTTTTTTTAATAAAAAAATAATAATTTTTTTAAACAATACC